TAAAATACAATAATAAAGATAATTAGAGGTTAAATGAAAAAGCTAAACTCATTTAATGAAAAACTTTTTATTTAAGAAAATTCAAAATGATAAGAAAATAGAAGAAGGTAAATTAAAGCTTCTCATTGTGTCACCTAAGCAACTCCACATTTTGCTTTTAGATATATATAGATGGATTGATGAGAAGAGTAAATTATGGGTTTGGTCCATGTAGTTTACACTTTCTATCTATAATGGTCCCAAAATCATAATAAATACAAGGATAAGACCTCTACTTTCTATTTTCACACCTATTGAGTCCCAGCCTCTAACATTCGTTAATTTTTTTGTTAGGCTAGTTAAATATAGGGGTATTTGGATCTTTTTCACCTTTTTTTGTCTTTTCTTACTAAAAATCATATTCTTTTTTAATATTAATATTATAATCTATAAATATATATGTGTTTGTATATACATATACAGAGGGAGAAAGCAGTCCTACTTCCTTCAACGAAGAACCTACACCACTGTGGTCTTTGCCGAAGAACCTTACTGTCGTAGCCACTCGTTTTCCCCGGGCCCTCGTCATCGTCATCTTCCTAGTCAAAATAACCCTTCCCCTTGTTTCTTCTTCTGAATGAGAAAATGTTTTGTTGGTTATGATCTGGAAGTACAGCGATGAGAGGGAAGAGGGAGGAACAACAGGGACGATTTGGAACCATCGCTAGTTTCGTTTCCCCACAATACTGGCAGTTGCTCCATCTTTTTCTGTGAGCAGCAAGAAGATTTTTGATGTCTCCCTCCTTAACAAGGACGAACCTATAGTGGTGCATATAGTGGCACATGCCACCGTATTATTCTTCCGTCGAAAGATAAAAAAATCTAGGTTCACGAAAAGTGCAACCGTATTAATCTGTCGTGTGTCACTGTATGTATTTTGAAACTACAATGAGAACAAGTTTTATTTGGTAGAGTTAGTTTGCAAAACTTTTATTCCACCCCAGACCTAAGTTCGAATCATGCTAGTGTCATTTTCTTAGTCAAATGGTGCCACCGTTCGAAAAAAAAAATTATATATTTGTTTCATATAATCAAATGGTGCCACCGTTTGAAAAAAATCTATATATTTGTTTCTTATAATCAAACGGTGCCACCAATTGAAAAAAAATCTATATATTTGTTTCTTATAATCAAACGGTGTCACCATTTAAAACTTTTTTCCTATAGTTTTTTCTTAGATTCAAATGGTGCCACCATTTTAAAAAAAATATAGGTCCGTCCCTGCTCTGTACTCTTGCAGCATATCTTCGTCTCCTTTCCTACTTTGGCAGCACCTTCTTGGTGATACATATTCTAAATCAAACTCAAAGTCTATATCAAACCTCAAATGTAGATCAAAATAAATCCTCAATCAAACTCAAGCCTAAATCAAATCCCAATAGAAACCTAGTTACAAACACACAACATGAAGGCTCAAACACTAATTAAACTCAGGTCTAAACTTGTGACGATGAACCAAGGGGAACATAGTGTCAAGGTTCCAGCGCCGATATGGGGTTTTTGGTTACAAAAGAGACCTTATCGGAGATTTCGTCCCTGTGAGACTGAGAGCTCTCATCAGAGATTTCGTTTGTTTTAAGGAAGAACTGTGAGATGTCATCGATTTGTTTTAGGGAAGAACTGAGAGACCTCATCAGATAATATAAAAAACTAGTATACATACAGTTGTATGTACATATACAAAAAAAAAACAAAATTAAGGATAAAAATATTAAAATACCCCTGCTTGTGGACTTAACTGGGTTAACGAAATCTTTTTGATTTGTGTTAAACTCAATATGTGCTAAAATGTAAACAAGGGGTCCCATCCTCGTATTTATTTTAATTTAGGACCACTATTGATAGAAGGTGTAAACCATAGAGACCAAATCCTAATTTACTCTAAAAATAAACTAGTTGATCTTCAAAAACTATCTTGAATTAACCAACTTTGTTAACGGTTGATGGCCACAAGAACCAAAATGGAAACAAAAGTGTCAACTAAGGCTACACATATGTTGGGTTGGTGGGATTTTTGAACAACTCAACTCAACTTAACTTAACCCAATCCAACCTAAACAAAAGTACAACCTAACCTAAAATGTACGGGTTAGGTTGGTGGGCTGGTCGTGTTGAAATTTTGATCCATCATTTTACAATCTAGTTAAGCGATTGTTTAAATGAAGTAAAATAAAATGAGAACATACAAATAAAACTAACGATTACATAAGAGATATTAAAATATATTTGAATGAGTTATAATAATTAAGGACTTAACAATGATATTAAATCCATGGTATCAAAAAACATTGGGTTCATTGGGTTGGATTCAAATGACCCTAACCTATTCCATCCCAATAACTACAGTTTAAAGATTTTACAACTTGATTAGGTATCGAGTGGCCTCAGGTCGGGTTGAGTTGGTTGTGTTAGTCAGCTTTTTTAGCACCCCTAGACAGAGTTGAACCCATAAATTTTTCTAGGGGTTGACACAATTTGAATATAAAAACAAACTTGCCGAAATATTTTATAATAATAGTATAGATCGATTGGTTGGTTCCAATTTTTTCCTAAATATATTAAAACTTAAACTAAAAACTAAAAAACTTGACATTAATGGGACTCAAACATGAAACATACAAAGTGAGCAACATTTACCAACTTTGTCAAAGCTTCAGTTTCAAAAATTATATGATCATACATTTCTGAATCGTAATTTTTTTTTCTTATGGAACGATAAAACGGTGTCCCATACCACCATGTAGGACTATAAAGGTCCGCTCCTGCCCCTAGGTTTGGTCGGGTTAGACAATTTTTTGAACACTCCTAGTAACAACTACAATAAGTTTCTTTATGTTCTAACATTATTGCCAATACATTATCTCCATTTTGTTCCAGATTGTAGTCCCTAATAAAAAATTATAGCTCCATGAACAAAAGCTCATGTCATGATGAATACTGTAAATTAAACCAAAATTTTACTTTATTATTTATAGAAAAATCCAAAAAAACCCAATGGACTAGACTGTTTGGAACAATTAAGTCATTGGACAATTTTTTGGAACAAATAAATCATTGGACATTCCACAACCTTTTAAATAAGTCATTGGGCATTACAAAACACGTTAAATAACTTCTTGAATTTTCTAAAACCTGTTAAATACATTTTGTTAGTGGAAAAAAAGTCTAAAAAAAACCCAATGGACTTTCATATTTTAAACGATCAAGTCTTTAAACATTTTTTCAACGAAAAAAGTACTTACATTTATAAAAAAAACAAATATACCATTCTCATTACTTTTCACAAAACATATAAAAGTTGTATTCAAAACATAATAATTTGCAAACAAAATTTGGGCATAATTTTACCAAAAGTTAAACCAAAATATGTAACAAAAGTTGGACCAAAATATGTAACAAAAGTTGCACCAAAAAATACTGACAATTGCACCAAATATACCAAAAATTACGCAAAAAAATACCAACAGTTGCGCCAAAAAAATACCAACAGTTGCGCCAAATATACCAAAAGTTACGCCAAAATATACCAAAAGTTACGCCAAAATATACCAAAGTAATGCCTAAACTATGTTAAGGTCATGGTATGAATTGTGTTTCATTTGCATCATTAATTTCTGGTGGAGATATAATCATTTAACTTTCTTGTAACCCTTTTTGATGTCTAACAACATCATCACTTTCATAATGTTCTTCATCAACAACATTATATCACCTTCATCACAGTCTTCATCATTAACAACAACCTCTCTTGAAATTGAATACAGTAGGATGCCTTTGGGCCATGTTGGTTGTGCCACATCTAGGGATGTCTTTAATGATGAAAATAAAGTGTAAGCAATAGTCATAAAAAATGTTATTTGAATATGAAAAACAAATAATGGCTTACCTTAATCATTGTTTCTCCCGTGACTGGATCATAAGAGACCCTTACATATGATGGTATTCTCCCACCTCTATTGCCTTTTCCACCTCTATTGCCTTTTCCACCTCTGTTGGCTCTTCTTGTTATAGTCGGTTTTTGAATGTTGAGTTTTATTCTATCTTTGCTTAACAAGTTTAGGTGGTGGGTTCTTTTTTTTTTATTCTTACAAGTCCTAGCATTATGTCCTGTTTCTAAGCAATTGCTACATGTCATTACCTTCCCAAATTGAGTTAGCCTTGTACTGGCGATAGGTACAGTGCAACAACGACCAACGATTGGAAGGTGGTGTATGGCGACGAGCGGCGACATGGGTCGTGCGGTGGCCACGGGGGTGGTGCACAAGACCGCGGATGGGATGGTGGTGTGGGTGCGTTAAGTAGCGAGAGGGAGACGGTGGTGTGGTCACATGAGGGAGATGAGAGGGAGATGGTGGTGTGGTCGCATGAGGGAGACGAGGAGTCATCTTATTTTAGGATATTTTTGGGGTTATTTTTTAATTTGAGGTTTACCTCCTATTTAGGTTACAAGTTATATTTTAAGGGTTGTTTGTTTACCTCTTAATAATTCCATTAAGAGACAACATCTGAATCGTTAAGAGGTGAATCTTGTTTGACAAAAAAAAAATCTGCCTCTTAATGGTTCTAAAACCCTCTGAATGATTTTGTATCTTTGATCTCTTTAAACCATTAAGAGCCCTAATTTCATTGTACACAATTACCAAACAATTATATTTTATTTTATACTATATTATAAGAGCCTATTAATTATTTTAATCCCTTAATCATTTCATATCAAACCATTCATCAATTCCGAAATCGACCCTTAAAATTGATTGGATTTCTTTTTGACTTTTCCTCGGCAAAACTTTCAAAATTTGTGGGAAGAAAGATAAAAGAAAAAAAGGTTTTCGTCATTTCCCTCGTTCTTGCGTCATCTGAATTCTCAAACCTTTCTTCTTCTTGTGCGCCACTCAACTTTCTCTTTCTCTTTCTCTCTACAGGATTTCGTATGATCATCGAACTGTGTATATATATATAACGAATGAGGAGCAGACAGATCTTGCATTTTTACGTAAACGCTACGATTCCAATCTTTTCATACACTTTCTCAATCCTAGTTTTTACTCTTCCAAATCAACTCTGTCTTCAAAACCCCTAATCCAAATTTTGCAATTTCAACTTTGTAGGGGAACATCGGAAGGCTGATTCTGGATTCCCTTTTGATCCCACCAGCTCTAATCGATTCTACTTGAAAGTTATATGCTAATCTTTAGCTGAAATTCTGTAAATTTGCAGGTGTTCTAGGTCAACCCTTCTTGATTCTTATTTATCTTGCAATTAGATTTGTGGGAAATTCATCAAGCTTCATGTTTGTACCTGAATCATTGTTTGAGTGATCTGGGTTGCTGTTAGATTAGATAGATACCCACCAACATTAAGCTTCTGATACTTGCTAACTATAAAAATGGATGTAAGCAATGAGGCAAGTGTTGATCCATTCTTAATCGGACCATCTACGATTATTGGCCGGACTATTGCTGTAAGAGTTCTATTCTGCAATTCAATGAATCACTTTCGGCACCAGGTTCTTCATTTGTTGCTTTATTACATTGAAAGAGTTAAGACGAATGTATCCGCCGTTGTTACACCTGCAAACTCATGGTTGCATCCAAGGAACCCGCAAGGGATACTATTGTTGGTGATACTAATAGCTTTTGTACTCAAACGGTATAGTAAGGTGAAAACAAGGGCTGAGATGGCTTATAAGCGGAAATTTTGGAGAAATTTGATGAGAGCTGCGATAACGTATGAAGAATGGGCTCATGCTGCTAAGATGTTGGATAAAGAAACTCCTAAAACGATTGAACACAACCTGTATGATGAAATGCTTGTGAGAAGTAAACTTGAAGAACTCAGGCATCGTCGTGAAGAGTGTTCGCTTAGAGATATTGTATTCTGTATGCGGGCTGATCTCGTTAGAAATCTTGGTAATATGTGCAATCCAGAACTTCATAAAGGCAGGCTTCAGATGCCAAAACTCATAAAAGAATACATTGATGAGGTCTCTACACAGTTGAGATTGGTTTGTGATTCCAACTCTGATGAGCTTCATCTGGAAGAAAAACTCGCGTTTATGCACGAAACCCGCCATTCTTTTGGAAGAACGGCTTTGCTTTTAAGCGGTGGTGCTTCTCTTGGAGCTTTCCATGTGGGTGTGGTGAAAACATTAGTTGAACATAAGCTTCTTCCCCGGATAATCTCTGGTTCTAGCGCCGGATCCATTATCTGTTCGATTGTAGCCACTAAATCCTGGCCTGAGCTTCAAAGCTTCTTCAACGACTCATGGCATTCGTTACAGTTTTTTGATCAAATCGGTGGAATCTTTAGCGTTTTCAAGAGGGTTATGACACAGGGAGCGATTCATGACATCAGACATTTGCAGGCGGTCTTAAGGAACCTGACGAATAATCTTACGTTCCAAGAAGCATATGATATGACAGGTCGGATTCTCGGGATCACGGTATGCTCGCCAAGGAAACATGAACCTCCAAGATGTCTCAGTTACTTGACTTCACCTCATGTGGTTATTTGGAGTGCAGTGACTGCTTCTTGTGCTTTTCCTGGATTATATGAAGCTCAAGAACTAATGGCTAAGGACCTCAGTGGAGAAATTGTTCCATATCAACCATCATGGGGGCGGGAAGAGGCCAACGCCGCCTCTTTCCGGCGGTGGAGGGATGGTAGTTTGGAGATTGATTTGCCCATGATGCAATTGAAAGAGCTTTTCAATGTGAATCATTTCATCGTGAGTCAAGCGAATCCTCATATCGCTCCGTTGCTCAGGTTGAAAGAATTCATGAGAGCTTATGGAGGCAATGTTGCTGCAAAGGTGTCTTTCTTTAACTTCACTCGTTATTTTGTTCTTATTTGATTGTATTGATTTTTGTACTCGTAACAAGATTGCTCACTCGATAGAACACATCAACGGACTAATTAAAACCAAACTGAACTTTCACAGTATTTCCCACCTCGGTGTGACGTCTAAGGGTGTTGTTCATCGGTTTAAATCCATTGAATTTAGGTGGATCAGATCAACTCCAATCATCTAATGAATGTTGGACTTTGTCATTTGATCCAATCCAATTAAATATTGGACATCCGATTCAATCCTATCCGATGGATGATTGGGTCGGATCGGTTCCATTCATTGGATTACTATTGGTTCTCCACCGGATCAGATTGGATCCATTGATACAATCTTCAACCATTTATTCATATATTTTCTTAATTTGTTAAAAACCACTGCGTATAAATATCAAGTAAAAAAATAATATCATAGAATATTAATAATAACATATGGTTATTAATTAGATGGGATCGATTGGGTTTTAGTGGAATCCCACAAGGTTCCGAGACGGAGCTTAATCTGAGTCTCGGTTAAGAATGGCGATGACCTATGTTTCACATGAACTGCCATCCAAGAACCAATGGATCCAATTCGGATGTTGAAATTTTGGATCCAGTTCGATCCAATTACAATTGGATATCCGATTATGATCGGTCAGTTCTAATTGGATCGGATAACTTTCTACACGAACCACGTGCATCTGCTCCATCTGTCGACCCGTAGTGGAAGAGTTTTTTTAGGGGTCTTAAATTATCTCCGCTTTCGCTTTAAATTGATGTGCGCCCCCTTGGATCAACTTTTAACTTAGGCAACAACAGCAAAATAGGAAAAAGCCACATGATACTTTTTATAATTAATTTATGCTAATTAGTTTGTGCCCACGCTTAGACCTCTGCACCCCCACCCTCAACCTCACCAACTTCCATTCCTCTCATCTAAGCTAACTACCTAGTCGGCTACCCATGTCCTACGTCTCATCAACACAACAGTTGTGCCTCTCGATTCAAACGGAGATGTTCATTAAAGACCAAATAGCAACGTTAATGACATCAAAACTTCTAAGCGAGATGCGTGGTTTACGAACTCGATTTGATTATACTTCTGGATTAGATAGATATGGCTTCTCAAAAGCCGGGGGTGTTCATGGAAACAACCGCCCTACGATTTAAGGATAGAGGTCGGGTTTGCATACATCCCCCACCTCCGGATGGGATATATTGGTCTTCTTTAGTTTGGTTTAGACAAATTGGTGTAATTTTGACATGTTGCCATTTCTAAATCCACAGCTTGCTCAATTAGTCGAGATGGAGGTGAAACACCGATGCAACCAGGTGTTAGAACTTGGTTTTCCGTTGGGAGGACTTGCAAAACTTTTCGCTCAAGATTGGGAGGGTGATGTCACTGTTGTTATGCCAGCAACCGTAGCTCAGGTTCGTATAGATGAAGTTAGAATCTAAGGATATATGGAAACCCTTTAAATTCTCTCTAAAAAGCTATTAGGGTAAATTTGGTACGCAGGCTGGTACAACGCATGACAAAATAAAAACTTCTTGTCCCATGTTCTGAGAGACAATTAGACTGACTTAATGGAAAAGAAATGCATTTTAAATATTAGGATGTGTTTGGTAAGTGGGACGTGATGGGACAGGGCAGAATAAAACAAAATTTTCTTGCTTCTTGTCCCATGTTTGGTGAAAAAATTGGACTAGGATTGGATAAAAGTTAAGCGGAACAAAAATGCATTTTTTTTCTGTCTCATGAAAATAGGTGGAACAAAAAATTATAAAGATGGGACGAGCTTGGTAAAACCCAAAAAATGCATATATAGAGGGGGACGTTCCAACATGTATAGAGGTTTGATGGTCCGTGTGTACCCGATGTGGGATTCCAACACTAACAATGGTGAAGTTTCGAAAAGATGCATCTTAGAGGCCTTTTACCAATTAAAACTCTGTAACTGCATACTGGGTAAGAGTCACCACCCTCATTCATCTTACCGGGTAAATCTTGGTCACCAAAATAGATAGTACAAACGTAAGTGCTAACCAGGTAAGAATCACCATCCTCACTTACCGGGTAAGATTCCCGGATAGCAAAATACCACTGTAAGATTGTTGGTAAAGACCATCACCTTTGATTGGGAAAGGGTTTCTTACCCGGTAAGAGGTAGCAAGTGTTTAGTTACCGGTAAGAGGTACTAAAGGGCTATTTACCCGATGCTTTACTCGTTAAGCACTTATTGGGTTTCTTACCTTATTGGATGAACATGACAAGACCAAGAATCTTATCTGGTAAGACCGATAGCAAGGGCCGAGAGTCATACCTGGTAAGTGAGGGTGACTGCTCTTACCTGGTTAGCGCTTACCAGGAAAATTGTTGCACACGATATCGTTTCGATCGACTATAATTTTACCCGTTAAGGTCTGTGAGACTGTCGAATTTTACCGGTAAACGCTTACTGGGTAAGCGTTTAGGTAAACGCCCCCAAAGTTTTAATAGACGACCCTTTCGATGTGGTTTCTTTTGGTAATATTTGTTGATGTTTCTGTTTCCAGTACTTGAAGATCATACAGAATCCATCTCATTTAGAGCTTCAAAAAGCTGCAAACCAAGGGAGGAGATGTACGTGGGAGAAACTCTCAGCCATAAAAGCGAATTGTGGGATCGAGCTTGCTCTCGATGAATGTGTTGCGATTCTGAATCACGTGCGTAGGCTGAAACGGAGTGCAGAAAGAGCAGCCGCAGCTTCTTCCCGGGGCCCACCAAACATGGTTCGATTCAACGCCTCCAAAAGAATCCCGTCATGGAACTGCATCGCTCGAGATAACTCATCGGGTTCACTCGATGACGTTAATTCTTGGCGACCCCACCATGACGGAAGTGATAGCGAGTCTGAGAACAACGAGCCGAACTCGTGGACAAGATCTGGTGGGCCCTTAATGAGGACACCATCAGCTGATGAATTCGTGGATTTCGTTCAAAACTTGGAAACAGGTTCCAAATTCGACAACTTGAGGATCGTGTCGGAAATCGACATACGGGATACGAGCAATCGAGTTCATACAAGAAGTGACCACATCACGATTACCGACGGCGATTTTCTGCAGCCGGAGAGGATCCACGATCATATCGTGTTTAACGTTATGAGGACACAAGACCATGCCCCGTCGAATTCAGAAAACAACTCGCATCCCGACTTTGTTGCTGAATGTGTGCAACTTGAGTGTCCCCATAACGAGAATGATGGCAGCTCGACTTCTGAATACGGTGTTTGTGACGATGAATCGAGAAGTGACGTCAAGGATGACGACCATATAGTATCTGATGATAACGACAACGACGATGACAAAGACGATAACAAAAGTACTGAAGGCCACTAAGGCCATCCAGTACGGTGAGATTATCATCATCTATCACGTTCTATTATGTGTCATTTTCTTTAGCAAATACTATACACTTCATTTGTGACCACAAGTATATAAGTTGTATATAAATTTCTTTACCCCATATTATTTAATTAAATTTAAAATGTACATTCTAATAAATAAAAAGTTATTATTTTACTTTTGGATGTGTAGTTTTTAGTGTTTTTTTTTCCTTTTGAAAAAATACACAAAAGAAATTAAGTTATATAGATTCAGGTTCACATGAGAATAATAACTAAACAATAAAACACGTAAACGGTCGATTCACATGTGATTTCAGATTTACGCGACTTTGGCTGCAACTTGAGGTCGCGAGCTAGGTCGCCCGCTAACCCTTGGGTGGACCATGTTTCGTAATCGCATGTAAAATCACATATGATTTGGTTGTTTTCCTATTATTTTATTTTTGACCATGTTTTCATTTGATTCTTCTTCAAGCTATAAATACTTGCACAACAAAAAAAGTTATAATAACCAAAAAACTGACCAAAATGCCATCATGTTGAGAGGACTCTTAACATCGCTTCTAATGGTCCTAACGAACAGGCACGTCATCTGTAACGAAATATAAACATAACCTTGTAATTTCAAAAGTTATGAATGAAAACGAGAGCTTCAACTGTTATAACCGGGTTTTAGACAACCTGAGTTGAGGTAACTTTTATGTGATTATTCTGTGAAATACGTGATGACATGCATGTTATTTTATTAACTGCATGAATAACATACATATACATGACAACATGCATGATATAGAGATTATGTGCAGATATGTGGAAACATGATGCTATGCATACGTGAATCATCAATATTTTAATAAGTAAGTGGGTAGACTTCGTGGTTAAAAAAAGTGAGTTTTAAAATAATAAAACCCACCACCTGTGAGTTTAATAATAGAAAAAGGTTCTCACCGCCTTATTAAGAAATATATATATGAAAGTAAAAAGATAGGATCTTATCTTATCTTGTCTTTTGGAAAAGAAACCTTTTTAGAGAAAAGAAAGTGTGTGGCTGTGGAAGTGTTCTTGAGAAAGATTTTGCTTAGAAAGTGATTCAAAGAATCTGTGTGTTTGAAGCCAACAATCTGTGCTTATTAAGGTGAGTTTTTGATACTAAAACCGTCATATAGTGTTATTTAAACTGTTGGTTTTTTGATAGATCGATATTTGGAAAAGGATGGGTAAAACTGTTTTCTAATAGTTTATAAATATATGTTTATGATCTTAGATTTTGAAACTGTTTTGGAAAGATAAAAAAGATTTGGCTTCTTAAAAACAGTTTATGTATGATATCCTATTTTAAGGATTCAAAGGAGATTTTGAGTTTGGAAATGAGATTGAAAAGAACTGATTGTTCTTGAGTTTCAAAGTTTTAAAGATAAAACTGTTTTGAAACCATTATTGGTTAAAAACTATAAAGAATATTCCTTCAAGACGGTTGTGACTTCGGTCTGTCTTCGTTTGGGATTAATCTATAGATTTTGTGGATAAAACTATGGAGGTTGTTTCACCAAGACGGTTGTAACTTCGGTCTGTCTTTGTTTGGAACTAATCCATAGATTTTGATGAGGAAATAAAGGTGACATATCAAGGAGAGGTGTACCATGGGATAAGAGTGACATATCAAGGAGAGGTGTACATTCGGTTATAAGGGTGACATATCAAGGAGAGATGTCCCTTTGGATATAAGAGTGACATTTGTGTGTGGAATTATTATAGCCCTTGCTATTATATCTCTTAAGATTACAATAGATTTGAGTTCTTGCTTCTTTGTGATTTGAGGTCTCAGAGATGTTGTTCTTATTAGAAATAATAGTATTGATGTTATTGAGAAGGGGAAAACTTGGTCTATGGCCAATGGTTTTGGATAAACTCTCTTTTGGAACAAGTGTTTGATTTAAGAGGAACCAAAGAGGCTCTGGTTGTTCCTTGAAAGGAACCAGAGGGGCTCTGGTTGGTCCTCATAGTATAACCAGAGGGTTCTGAATGATGTTTCAATATTTGATGCAAGTCTTTTACTAAAAGTTTTAGTTAAACCAGAGGCTCTGTATCTATTAGATAAGAGCTCTGTGTCTAAGTCATATTTTGAAAAGTTATTTTTAAAGATTTCATACTTAGAAACTTTTCTTACAAATGAAGACAGACCAGAGGGGCTCTGGTTGGCCTATGCGTTGGACCAGAGGCTCTGGTTGGTCTTGCATTTTGAGCCAGAAGCTCTGGCTAGTATAATCAAAGCTCTGGTCATACAAGATCCTTTTAAAAATATGTTTTTATTCTTGGGAAAGCTATTTTATTATCTAAGGTGTTGGTCTATGAATGTTTTGAGAATTTTACTTAAGTAAGAGGCTTTAGTTGGATTAACTAAAAGCTCTGGTAGAGAAACCAAAGAAGCTCTCGTAGAGGAACCAAAGAAGCTCTGGTCCTTTTGTCTGCTAAAATATTTTCTAAGTCTGGTCTTTGGGACCAGAGGTTCGATGGACATAAACAGAATATGGATTTACATTACATTATGTGAAATTGTAACGCCCCAAACCACACATTGCATGTAACACATATTTCATACAAAAGAAATACATGACATTATCCCATTCAGGTCCCTTAGTACAAGAATCTATTATAACCAAATACAAGGTCCAAAAATTCAAATACATTTCTTGTATTATTCAATCAAAACTATACATCAAGACAGATCTTCATGCATAAATGCATATAGGAAAATATTACATTTTCCTCTTTCCCTTACCGTTCGTACCTCCTGCAATATATAATTAAAATCACAAAACGAGGGTTAAACCGAAAGGTCTAGTGAGATACCCTATGAATGTTATTGCAGGGTGAAAATACCAAATTTTTTTATGGAAAACAACATTTCATATATATAACAAATATATGAACAAATAGGAACATACTACCAAATCCTTTCCACTTTTCAAGCAAAGCATTCAGCTATTCAAATCTCATACCTCTAAACCAATCAGGTTTCATATAATGCCACTTTTAAACCATTTCTAATCAAACAAGGTTTATATAAAGTTTCGGGCCAAACCTGATGTTTTCTCCTCAATAACATCCAGACTATGATTTCCAATAAGAACCTTGATCCTAAATCTTTAAATCACAAAGAAATAAAGATTCCAGACCACGATAGTCTTAAGGGATATAATAGAAAGAGTTATATCATGTAACACACATACAAGTGCCACCCTTATATCAAATGTACACCTCTCCTTGATATGCCACCCTTATCCCATGGTACACTTCTCCTTGATATGCCACCATTATCCCATGGTACATCTCTCCTTGATATGCCACCCTTATTTCCTCATCAAAACTTTTCATAAAACAATTGCAAATAGACCGCAACTAATGGAATTATTATTAATCCAAAATCATTTATATCAAACCTTCATTTTATGATAAAATAACAATTTTTATCAATTAGGCACAAGGCATAAAACAAATCCGGTCAACCTAGGCTTGGCCGAACTTCATCTCCGGTCAAGTCTTAGCCGGTTTACCAAATCCGAAAAACTCATCCCCCAAACCTTGTCCGATTTAACACTTGGAATAATTCCAACAACTTTGTCCGGATAAAGAGTCCGGACAATACATCCCCCAAAGCTCAACCGATTTAAATAATCCGGTCACCATATGGTCGTATTCATACTTAGTTCAAAAAGATAACCAATCTTAATCCGCTTGACACTTAACCGGTTTAAGGTTAAACCGTTCAACACCTGAGCGATTTAAGACTTAATCGCCCAACACTTGACCGCCCAACACTTGACCGATTTAACACTTAGAATAAATTTCAACAACTTTGTCCGGATAAAAGTCCGGACAATACATCGCCCAAAGCTTGATCGATTTACAAATAATCCAGACAAGCTTTGTCCGATTAAAACTTAATCCGAACAGCCTTTACCTGGATAAAAACCCTTGAACAAATAACTGATTTCTTTCTAATGATAAATAACATTCAAATAAAACCAGTAACAAATTTTATGCAAAAAGGTTTAGAAATCACTCACCTTAACAAGYCTTTTGAAACCAAACACTTGAAATCAGGCACTTGCAATCCGGTCAACTCWTTCTCTTTAAAGCGCTCAAAATTTTAAAAAGGMAAGAAGAAGWGGAATGGAGGCTAAGCCCTCCTTTTATATCCTTCTAAAAATGGAAGGTTGGCTAAACAACCCCCTTCCCATGCTAGCTTATCACATGCACATGCATCCATCCACACACCATGCATTCACAACATACATGTGTGTAAAATCACATATATATATATACCTATGCATATATTCATATATATATATATATCCAATTAATGCATAATTCCACATACCAGCATGATCAAACGTATCAATTTATCATGCTATCACGTAATCATTTAATCAGATAATCACATATTAATTACCTTGGGTGATAACCAGGATCCAGTTATCACATTATCCACCTCTTAAAAGAATTCCGTCCCGGAATTCCTTTAATAAAAAAGCCAAGGGTATTCTGATCTCATCTTTGACTCCAATTCCATGTTTGCTTCTGGTCCTTTGTGAAATTTCCACTGAACCTTTACCAGACTTATTTCTTTGTTTCTCAACGCCCTGATCTTTTGATCAATTACAGCTTACGGTGTTTCCACAAAGTTCAACTTTCTGTTTAATTTAATCTCTGGCATCGGTATGGCTAGACTCGGATCGGCCAAACATTTCCGCAAATTTGACACATGAAAAGTGTTGTGAATCAGACTCAGCTCTTCTGGAAGCTCTAACTTATATGCTACTGGCCCAATTTGCTTACATATTCTGAACGACCCTACATACCTCGGACTGAGTTTCCCTTTCTTTCCAAATCTGATGACACCCTTCCATGGCAAAATTTTTAACATCACAAAATCACCTATACCAAACTCAATAGGCTTTCGACGATTATCAACATAACTTTTCTGACGATCTTGTGCTGTTTTGATTCTTTCGCGGATCTGTTCGATCTTTTCAGAAGTTTCTTGGACAATTTCAGGACCCATCAGCTGTTTTTCACCAACCTCATTCCAACACAACGGCGTTCGGCAT